GTGAAAACTAAAATAAACTGCTCTGTAAGACGCTCTTTGAAGTGAACGAGTTTGATTATACTCCAGTATTCCAAGTATTCCAAGAAAGCCAATATATCAATAAAATATTCGTTAATAATCGCGTTAATTACTTCAGGATTATTAGTAACGGTAGCGTTGCACTGTACAAGGTCCTATAAATGTGAAACGAAACACTACACTATATATCAGGGGTCGGTAACCTACGGCACGCGTACCAGACTTTGGCACGCCTGGCAGTTCGAAATGGCACGCATATAACTTCGTGAAGAAGCATTAAAATAAAGATTTAGTTTTGAGAATACTTATTGTAAATTCAAAATCATCTATGAAACTGTACAGAAGCAGGCAACGTAGGTTGACCGAGCGAAGTGATGGCAGGCCAGACTAGAACACGGGAAACTTCTAGGAGGCGTATTTACCATTATATAAGCGTATATTCAGTAAGAGTTTTACGCCATAACCAAACCGTTATTACAACACCTCGATGTGTTTCGAACAAAAAGTAATCATCTCCAAGAGGAAGATTTAACTGAATATACGTACAGTGTTATCCTTATTTGTACCTAGATACCTCTGCTAAGTACCTGAGTCTTAAATTAATTTCACAATGTTGCCTCATTAACTAGTCTTAAATTAATTTTACAACGTGTCCTTATGTAACAGTCAGGTAAATCTGATAAATAAAATATTTCAATAAGCTATATATAGTGTAGGTATTGGTCTACCATCGTTATTTATAATATTATTATGTTTACTTATGTCTACACTATCGTAGTCATCTAGATGCCTGTTATTGTTAATTTCTCTAACTAATCTTGATGAAATAAAGTGTATGGAATGGTTTTGTGGCAAAATATGATGAACGACTGCTGATTTCTCTGGTCTTCCAACTTTTAGGTGTGCCAAGTGTTCCTTATATCTTATTTTGATAGAAGTTTTTGTCTATGCATAATATTTTGCATCTTAGTCCTCATATTTAATTTCATAAATTCCCGACTTCCGAATTCTCGACTTCATTAAAGAATCCAAACAGTGCATCACAAGTTCAGTGAGAGTAGTTCAGTTTAGTGAAGCTATTATAAAGATGAGTTCCGTAATGAAACTGTAGTGGCAAAAGTTGTACCAGGTGTTGTTATTGGACGTTAATCGTAACATTATTTATCAACCTGTAACGTACAAGTGCGCGATTAACATCAGTGTCAGGCGGCAAAAATGCAGACATTAGAAGTTCGGCCCTTCTAAAGGTATTGGACAAGTAATTATCATTTTGCACAATAAAAAGATCGAGCCATATGTGCATTATGTCGGGAAATCGTAGTATTTCGTATATCTAGTGTTCAACGACATTTTGAAACAAGACATGAATAGGGGTTTAAGGATAATGTTGATAAAACGAAGACAATTTGAAGATCAGTTGCTCAGTACCTATACAAAGTAGGCAACATTCTCAACAAAAATTAGTCAAGGAAAAGATCAAGCAACCGAATTCAGGTTCGAAACTGCACAATCTTTGGCAGAAAGAGGAAGACCTTTCACTGATATGAAATTTACTAAGCAAACGTGTCTGAGAAATGCGGATGTATTGTTTGATGATTTCAGCAATAACCAAGCAATACTGGTCCGGATTGAAGATATACGAGCAACAGCGCGAACTATTGAGAGGCGAGTTACTGAAATTGCAGGAAATGCATGGAAACAACATTAAACAGAATATTGTATTTAGTATTTCGCTGGATGACAGTGTTGACGTTAATGACATTTCCCGGTTGGCAATCGTTTCACAGTACTTTGACAATAACCGTGTGTATGAAGAACTGATGTCTGCTTTCATTGGAAGAAACGACAAGAGGCGAAAATATATCCGATAAACATATTCAAAAAAGGGGACTATGATCGGGTCACATTAGGGATTTGTATCTCTTTTTGCTGCTCGCATTGGTCGACCACTTTTGAAATTTCATTGCATCATCCATCAAAAAAGTTTATGCGCTCAGATCTCTAGCGGAAGCTTAAAATCCTTGATGGATACCGTTGTTAAAGTTGTCAACTACATTGCTGGTCGTTCTTCATTAACTTGTGGAATGTTTGGGAGAAATTAGGTGTGGCATTTTCAATGCTTTCGGCATTCCGATTGTTCTTTACGTGTGAGCAAGTTTTTTTCCTTATGAAAATCATTTTGAATCCATATCAGAGCTTGCTAACAACAGAAAATTCAGAGGCATGTGTAATATTAAAAGGAACTAGACATGAACCAGAAATACGAAAGCTTTCGCGAGAAACACTGAAAACGTTTCCTTTTTGTTTGCTATGTTTCCTTTTTGATTAAAATTTTTAGAAATATTGTCATCATCATTTTTTTATTTCATTAGGTACCTTCCTCCTTACTTTCAACAATTTTCGTATAAAAATTATACAGTTTTTTATAGTGGCACTTTGGCTTTGTCCAAAATTGCACATAGACATCTCTTTGTTAAAAGGTTGCCGCTATATATCAATCACACGGCATATTTCCAAACTCTCACTACGGAAATATTTGAGTCATTTCGTGGAAACTATAAGCATAATCTATTTGAGCCTCAGAACGTTAAGATGTCTGGATAAGTTGATCAGTTTGATGGGAAGTAATTTATTCTTGAGGTAATCGTTTAGTATTAGTATCCCAGAGCAGAATCATTAAAACCATGATTGATAGTGCAGTCAGGCAGTCGATGCAGGAAAATCTCAACAAGTAATTTGGTCACATGAAGACATATATAAAGCAGAATGATTACCCCAAAAAACTGATGAATAAAATACAAAATTTGAATAAAATACAACAGGAGACCCACAAGAAACCAGTGCTAGCCCGTCCTTATCTCAGATCACTGTCGGAGACTATAAAAAGAATTGTCGAGAAACAGTGGTTTGGGAAGAACTTCAACGTCGCATTCAGTTAAGTGATCATTACTTGATGGAAGAGCAAGTTTTTACTTCCTCTCGAAGATGATCTCTTGATGATCGAAACACGTGTTGAGGTGTTGAAAATAACGATTTGGTGCATCAAACAGTGCATCACAATGATTTGTTTGTCAAACTGCGTCATTTTACTTGAGAATGGTTCAATAAACTGGTCGTAACAGATAAAACTCTCTATAGAAATTGGACAAAAGACATTTTCCCTATCGTTTATTTAATATAAATGCCCACAAAATAAACAGGTCATCAATCGAACAAGCAAAATACATGAAAAAATAAATGCATCAAAGGAGCTAGAAATGAAACAGTTTTGAGAAGTACAAGTGAGCTTTTGGAAATATTTGTTTATATTTCTCATAACTCAAATGCCTGCACGTCGTCTTGATGTCATTCAGGTTGGAGCCCAGATTCCTTACCCTTTTGGCTGATCTTCGTCGAAAAAGGACAAATGGGTTCTTGACTGAGGGGATGTTGGCGGTATGAAGTCCTCAGACATCAATACCGCCCATCACGGGATACACCTATCTGGCTGGGGTGGAATGGATGACAAAGCTATTCGTCCGTTAACGGGGGACATGAGGGTCTCATTCGACAGTGTATCGGGGCCTTCTATATCGGAAGGGGTCGTCCACAGCATAATCCATAGCTTCCCTAACTAACTAACTCAAATGCAATTTGAAAATACTGAATAATTTTCGACTATTTATTTTTCCAAAATTAAAACAGGTCTTGCCACACAATATCACTAACCAAAATCACTATCATGTTTTAAAGATCAATATAAAGTACTTATATTGAAAATCTTTACCTGTTAATCAAAATCCGAATTCTTCTTGTGCATTGAAAATTCAAAGTTATAAAATGAATATTTCAACTGATATGTACCCTGTAATTCACACTCGTCTCATTTCAATAAGATTATTTGTTATTGTTCAATCAATGTAAAGTTGAATAATAATTGCGTAGGTGATATTCCAATATTGTCTTGCCAGTATTGAGAGACATTTTGAAGTATTCATATTTTCATCTGAATTATTTTCAATATCTACCAATTTCAGAAGTAGACTGGAGACTTGAAAGAGCTAAGAAAAGGGAGTAAATTCACCTCTCAATTTACGACCTAAGGAATGGCATCTTAGTGATCTGCTACGCTCCTAGTGTGTATCACAACGAAATGTCATCAAATATAAATTAGAAAATCGGGATTCAAAAATATTAATAGAATAATTCATGAAGAAAATAGACAAAATATTAAAGTTCATTCCAATTGAATTAAATCATCATACAACACATGACAATTTTGCATTGTTTCAGATTACTTTCACTGCATGCCCTGACCTACACCACCAATAAAATATATATAAACCCCGTCATCATAACTACTTACATTAGGCTAATAATAATAAACCGCAAACCATTTGAAAATTCTCCTATTCTTCTAGTCCTGGACTGCATCACGAACACATCGAATCTCTTAATTTTAATAATGATATTTGGAAATTGGTCATATATTTAAAAATTCCGAAAATTGTCACCCTTCACAAAGTCAATGATCCTAAAATCGCACCAACATCGTGCAAACTATCTCATTAGATAATATTTCTCCTAGACTCCTAGACATTAAATGAATAAAGTTCAATTATTCAGAAAATGTATTTCAAGAAAAAATATTTCTTTCGCAGTAGTTGTTTTTTTTTTCATTCAAAAGCTAGTAAATAGATTCGAATTCATTAAGAACTTATCCTACTGATGATATGAATGTGACAGTTAATACATGTTACCCGCAAATACGGCTAAATGAATAATGGATACAGTTGGTTATAACTTGAACTAACATATGAGATACTTTTCATTTTAATAAAAATATTAAACTTGAAGTATAGAAAGTTTTATGCTTCATATCGTTTGCGCTATATTGAAAAAAAATTGAGAGAATAGGAGATTTCGAATGATTAGATATTCTATATGTTAGAATATAAAAATTTTCTTTGTTTTTTGGCATACATCACTTGAAACTTCTATAAATGACATTCTATGTCAGTGTCTCTGAGTTGGTCATCATGAATTATAATCATACTCTTTTATAATAACGAATTGACCAACAGAAGCGCGTGATATGAAAACGAAACCTCTCAAAAGAGAAATGATGACCTAATCAGAAGCAAGAAAGTTAAAATTAAAACTGTCAAGAGCAATTAGTAAATATGATGACATAGTACGTTCAGCGATAATTATGCCGTCAAGTGAATTATTTATCGAGTTCGTTTCCAGAACGATTGAGGATTTCTTTACATCTGCATAGCAATACGAACACCCAAGGGCGACCTAGCTGTAATTGATGAGATAACACACGGACAAGAATAACAGCGACAGAAATGTTAGTTTATATGCGGGAAATTCGATTTGTAAAAATACATTTATTAGGAACGAGACAAGTAATAGTTTACATGAACAAAACTTAATTCGAAGGATCAATAAACAAGTTAAGTAGAAACAATGGATTGATATTAGTTTAGTTTGAATAAAGAAATCCAAAATTGTATGTTGGAAATAATTAAAAAAAGATTAAAGAAAAAAACCACGTTGGTAAGTCGAGGTCAAATGGAAGTGGTAGTATCAACACGTTTCGTCTGCTACTGCGATAGGCATCTTTAGTGGTTCATGCGTTGACTGTGAAGTTGAAGATAATTGACCATACTATCGAAAATAAACATCTACTCCACGAATTGGTCTTTTTATCATGCTGGATGCTTCGCAGTATTGCTAAATAACAGAGTTTTCGTACAAAAAATATAAATTTATCACATTTTGTGGTATCACTTTCAATAATACTATAAATGTAGTTCGGTAAACAGTATTATATATGTATCTTGTGCTATCTGATAGCCATCCCTAGTCAATCCCCACATAAATTTTGAAATTTCTTCCAGGTGAATTTTTCCAGTTCCACTGACGTGAATTTCAGTAACTTCGCAGCTGGTTCGTCATCCACATGGTGTGATCAGTCAAAATAAATAAAATCCAGAATGAATCAATGAGAGCGTGTTTGAAAAACAGTTCAAAAATATCCGTTGATAACGTATTCAAAAAATACTCTATTGTGAGATTTTTCATAAATGCTACACGTGTTTCGCCAAACAATGACTTTTTCGGGCGTGTATTTACTCAAAATAAAGTGTTTTTTGAATACGTTAGTTATGTTATGTCGAGATGATGGTAAACGGCTCATATCATGGAAATATGGAAACCTGTGGTATGGGACTTCACTTGCGTTGACACGGTCGCGGCTTCCCATCTAACCGAAAGTTCGAAGTCTGCTGAAACCGCAGCATTGTCAGGCGAAAAATTAAAACGAAAAAAATACCAAAATCTTGGTAACAACAATTTTTTCCATCCAGTAGCGGTTGAAACTTTTGGTGTTTATGGACCGGAGTCTCTGTTATTTGTTCATAAACTCGGAAGGAGAATAGGCCAAGCAACGAAATATCATCGTTCTACCTCTTTTTTGATAGAAAGAATAAGTATTGCTATTCAACGTGGTAATGCTGCTTCGGTCCTTGAAACTATTCCTCCTTCACATACTTTTATCATGCATTGCCCTTACTTCAGTACGGAACTAAAATCTCTTCGAAATAAGCCGAGATATGTGGATATTCATCAGGCTCCTATTAAGGTTAATTCGCAAGTAATTGATCCATTTTCTTCTTTTTCAGTGCGGTCAATGGACTTAGGTCATTCTTGACCCCCCAAATTTGAGTTGCAGTCCTTGTGGTTCTGGTTCCCTTTCAGTGGAAGAGCTTCATGAAGCAAGAGCCGAATCGATCCCTCTACGAAACCCTTCTTCATTTGGAAGGATCGATTGCGGCTTGAGAAATGCAGATTCTGTAATACACGTTTTTCCTTACGAATCAGTAAAGAGTTGTCCTGAAAAATTCGAGAATAATATTGGATAAGATAATTTAGGGAACACTTCCTACATGAATAGCATTTTACATGAGGAAAAATTTCAAGGAAGAGGTTTTAATGATGAACGAGAATGTTCCTACTTATTCACCAAACTCAAACATCTGTTCATGCATCTGTAGTTTCGTAAGAATGTATCATCTTTTCCTCCAACCGATTTTTTGGAGTCTTTGAAGTCCACTAGATAATAGTTAGGTCAACATGAGGATTGTTCCGAATTCTTAGGGTTCTTGTTGAATACTCTCCCTGAGCAAAACAATAGCAGAATCAATACTCCTGACCGCTATGGATTGAATGATTTCGTAGAGTCTATCTCGACTTGTATTTGTAAATCTTTTGCTGGAAAATTCCTCACTTGTTTATTTTGTAGTAAATGTTCAAGAGGTAGCGAAAACGTATGTGAATTTCTGGAACTTCAACTAGCGTTTCCTAATATGACTAATAACCAGTCCGTGCAAAGCTTACTGTTAAATCATTTGAAAATGATGATGATCGACTGTATTGCCAAACATGCGTCTAACTAACTTTTATAAAAAAAAAGGTATAGCTGAGGCACCAGTCAATCTAATAATAACACTGATGATCTTCAAACTGATGATCTCAGACGAATGTACCAAACTCTCACGAAGATTCGAAATTGATGAACAGTTTAATCTAGCAGACTACTATTATAATCTTCATGCATAGTTCACTATCGTTCTGGCGTTGAATCTGATCATTATCACGCCTTGGCCAAAGACAAAACGGACTGGTTTAAGTTTAATGATAGTCATGCCACTAAGTGTTCTGGCGAAGTATTGAAATTATTGGAGCTTCTGGAGACACCCTACATTTTGTTTTATGAGAGAGAGGACATTGGCAGATCAAGATCTTCAGATGAGGTGGTGCTGCAGGTTTTTCCGGGTTTTCCTGCAGCTGGAATCAGGAATCAATGAAGTCGCCCCGAAGCGCCAATTAATTTTTGTTGTTGTTTTATAATTTCATGATATGTATTTCGGAAGTGTGATCATTATATTCAATATACGTTATGTAGTTTGATCAAGTATTGGCTAATTCCATCATATATATCTGTTGATATTATAAGCGAATTATTTTACTCAAACAAAAAATCTTGTAAAGGGTGGCATTTGTAAGTGGCAAATATTGACTTTCTTATTTTATATATACTTTGCATTATCCAAGTTTTGGATTTCTCAAAATATCCCGGACATATTTCTGATTTATTGTATAAATAAGCATTGAAAAAAAATCATTTGCAAAAATTCGTTGAAATACATTCGAAAAGTAATAAGTAATACTTGATAATACTTGATGATGTTAAAAACAAAAATTAAGTGTAAATGTAGATGTTCAAAAGGCTGGCCATGAACGTCTTGGCTATTCTTACCTTTGATATTTCTTCTAGCTAAGAATCTCGGCGTGACCGATCTAATCGCAAGCGTTACCGAAGTCAGGTAAGTAGAGAAACTCAGTTTTCCAACCAACACTTCTGACATATTTTCATAATGTCAGATTAGGGAATCGTGCATTCCATTATACAGGGTCCTGCAACAGTAGCGCGGTGTTCCATATCTCAATTGAGGAAACATATAGGAATCTAAATTTCTATAATATCACCTCATTGCACGAGCCTGACAAAATAAAAATATTGGTAATTGAAAAAAAATCATTTGCAAAAATTCGTTGAAATACATTCGAAAAGTAATAAGTAATACTTGATAATACTTGATGATGTTAAAAACAAAAATTCGGCGTGACCGATCTAATCGAAAGCGTTACCGAAGTCAGCTAAGTAGTAAACCTTAGTTTTCCAACCAATACTTCTGACATATTTTCATAAAGTCAGATTAAGGAATCGTGCATTCCATTATATCTACCGGACATTGATTTGGTGATTGAGTGGTTCTGTGAAACTTGAGGATTGCTGGATCAGGGTATGAGTTTGTCAAATTTGACACAATATTATTTGGGAATGTGCTCAATAATTTCAAAATCAATGAAAAATGGCGTAACTACAATTCCTGCCCAAACATTAATATTTTCAGAGTATTGCGTGTGTTCCCCAGATTGACGACAATGTTGCCAATTAGTATGAATGTGGAATGTAAATGAGCACTCATCGAAAAACAAAACATTTTTTAATTATTGTTGGGCCGACGCACAGTTTACAGGTACCAGGTGCTTAAGGTAGGTTAAAATAGTACTTACATTTCTTAAAGTCTCAGTGCTGTTTATTACAAATGTTCAAAAAATATTATTGAAAATTGATAATTAATACTGCCAGACACATTCGGCCGCGGTAATTTTTATCAGACGCATTGAAGCTTTCAAAAAACAATGTAACTTCACTTACAATCTCAGTCTTGATTTCCATATATAATACTCAGGGAACTAATTCAATAATTTTTCAAGCAGATAGACCAATCGAAGGGGCCTAACATCTCCCAGACACACACAAAGGCTCGCTATGTGTATGAGCGCAAGGTCATTATCTGTTCGCTTGAGCCTGAGAGAGTATGAAGAAAGAAAAACAAAAACTGTGGTAAAGTATAGAAAATACGTGTTCAGAAAGATTTAATTGGGCGTTCCGATCAGAAAGTTGACATAGCCAAAATTTCTTCGTATCCCATAAGCCCAGTTTCATTATCCCGATGACATTTTGATGGTACCATTTGTAAGACTCAAAAAATCCATCTTAATGAAATGTTTGGAAAAGGACGTCGAACGCAGTCTCCCGTCTCACATAGATATTGTTGTAATGGATGGATTTTTCTTACTTCACACGATGTAAAATGTTCCAAAAACATTTAGCAGTATCTCAAAAATGAAGTTACAAAAGACCAAACAGTTGAATGCAAATAGATTCGACATAATTTTCGTTCAATACTTTTCTCCTTCTATAAAAGATTACAATAAATCTCTCCAACATGAATCGACACTACTTGATTCAACATTAGTGGACCCGATCAAGTTCGACCGCCTGATTTCCGGAAATAATTGAAAAATATTCGTTTCAAGCAGTCTCTCGGTAATTTTTTATACAACACTGGTATATACTGAAAGTATTGGTGCATTTACAGTTTCTCTTTTTTTTATAAAAATCAATTCAAATTTCGGCGACACCGCTGTAGGTTTGAAAATATAAATCAACGTAGCTGAAAGTGATACACTAAAAATTATAGTTTGGAACGCCATCGGAAAAGAAAAACACATAGGAAAGGTATTCGCCGGTTGTGTTATCGTATCGGGTGAATAGTGAATTCTTATTTGAGTTCAAGTTATTAATCAACTTTGTGGTCACATTCATATGGCTGCAAAAGGAATTGAAATACCTCTTTTTCCATCTAGTCAACCTGGTGGTAATAGCGACAATATTATAGTAGATAGGCTTCCTCCCCTGCCGAAAATTCAAGTCCCGGAATTTTCAGGCAGTGGGAAACGTTTCATTCGCTTTTCAAGAGTGTGTGAAGTTATAATTATATTGTAAAGGGCTTTGACCGAAAAATATGAAAATAAACGGATATTAGCGGACATATATTCTCAACAATTTTTTAATTTCAAGCCGTTGCAAAGTGAA